ACCGACGGCCGCACGGCATGCATTGATGCTGGGCATCTGTGCGGCACCATAACCGGCAGCCATCCGGCACATGATGGGTAAGCGTTATTAAGAGCGGCACCCTATCCTAAATAGGAGCGGCGAGACCCGCTTTTTCCGATGGCTGACCAAGCTTTGGTGACGGATCCATAAGTCCCAGTGACAGCGGACAGCCTGAGAATGTCACAGCTTCTGTTTGAAAATCTCGTGATTTGATTCGGTAATTTCATTGGTCCGAGGCGGTCCGTTGATAGGTGAAATAAGCAAGTGAACGTTCTCTGATCGACCTTCAAAACGGGAGTTCCGTTGTGGCACAGATCCAGACTCTAACTAATCGCATATCGCCGGCAATATGTCAAGCTTACCTTGGAGAAGCCTGACGTCACAAGAGCATGTTGGATCGGATCATCAAATTCGGCCCCGAAGTAGTCGACGCCAAGGATGCTGACGGCATACACGTCGAGGTCGTCGATTGGAGCTCCAACCATTGGAGCGAAGACGCCGGAAACTTGGAGCCTGGCGACCGTCACCCGTCTTCCGTCTAAAAGCGCCGTTTCTGTTACAGAACCTGCGTGAGGGGGGCGCCAGATAAGTTCTTACCGATCTTTCCTGCATCCATGTTACGAAGGAATTGACGCAAAGAGTTGAGGAGGGCGTATCCTACTTGACCTCAGCCATAGACCATCCAGTGTGGCATCGCTACTGCCGGTTTCACAAGTTGCTGAAGTTTATCTTCATGTCGATCACACATAGAGTCATCTGATTCTGCAAAGACATTCGGATGCTTCCACGTTTTCAACCTCTAAACGTCGACATCGACATCGTGTCCTCGTTGGCACCACTTTGAACCTGAGGCAATACGTACGCGATGCCTTACTGAGGCAGCTAGTGCGAAAGCGCATCACCCGGCCGGCCATGCGTCCAGAACGGAGAACATGCTTAGTGCTAGCACTTAAGATTTCAAGTCAAAGGAGTGCATGGGTTGGTGCCAGATTGGGCGGCATCCTTGTTGTCGGGTTTCAGGGGTCAATGGATTCAAGGGTTTTGGGGTTTTAGGGTTTGAAGGTGACGTAGGAAAGCATTGGCTTTCATGAGTAGATGAAGTGTTTATGCACGGTAGAATGCATCCCAGACATTGCAACTCTATATGGCAAGCCAGATTTCCGCGGGCCCACCTGTGACTATAGCGGGAAGCTTGACGTCCTGGCCATTGATGTTGAACACGGCAGAGTTGCAGGGGTCGACTGCTGCTTGCAGTATGATTACGTCGTAGGGTAAAAACACGTAGGCCGGCGTAAAGGTTCCATAATAGGATGGCGTGGTGTCTGTAGAGAATGCCAGCAGACTGCGTTAGAGTGTCAAGAGACAACGGGCAACTGCAGACTGATTTAGTGTCCAATATCAGGTGCCTTATGGAAGAAAGTCCTCACTCCTAGTCACATAGGCTTTTCTTTCTGCAGTAATATCTGGTCAGATATAACTGACGGGCTATATTCAAGCTAGCTCTCAAAACACAAATAAGCCATAAAGGCATATACACAGGTGAACAAAAAGGGAAGCCAAAGGTATAATGGGTCCTCAGTGATCAATTGAAGGAGACAGGACAACTGAGCTTTGATGTTTTTCCCCATGTATTGCAGATTAGGCATTACGTGCAATTTGACAATCAAAGAAACTCCTCGCACAATCAAGTCTCTTTGCCAGCAACTCGAGTCAAGAGTATGATTCATGCAAGTGTTTACTTGATTTGACAGGACGGCCGACAAAGTGAATCTGGCGGAAGGAGCTTTTGCTTGTAGTTTCTAGAGACTGCCCTTTTGAAGGCTTTTGCTGTGGTATATCAACCCCTAAGTGAGGATCAAGATTCTGCAATCGACTTTCGACCTGCTTATAAAGGCTCTCCGGGAAGGGACTCGGAACACAGTGATGGATGCAACGCCACAAAAAGGCGGCCCTTGGCTAGATCCATTGATCGGCAAAGGCTTTTATTTTGACTTGTCAGGCTGGGCGGTACACCTCCGCTTGCTGCATTTCCTCCTGAGCTGTCAATGTAGGAGGAGACAGAAGTGGGGAAGGAGAGAAGAAAAAAGGTAGGTTGGGCTTAAGTGCAACAAGAAGGAACACGCACTTTGAAACATCTGCTGGGCTTGCATGATTGAAACCTGACAGATTTCAGAGTCCACTGTGACAGGCGTCAAGCATGAGTTTTGTTGAACTGGGCAGTCACCTACATGGTGCATAATTGACCAAAACAGGGCAGTCCACAATCATTTCAGCCACAAACTACAAGCATCCATTGATGAGCTTGCAAGTCCTTGCCCTGGTCAGATGAGACATGCGCAGCTAGGTTTGAGACCAATGCAACACTTTCACCATCTACCAATTGACCTGGCAAAAGGAGTAAGGGAAGGGAACTCAGAGAACAGCCTGCATTCCTGCCCTCATTCACACCTCTAGAGGAAATGCCCATCATACATCCAAGTATTTTGAGTACAGGGACTGTGCCCAGAGTGTCCTTGCAGTCCACACTACAGCAGATTAACCAGAGTTTCTAAGGCAGATACCTCTCGCCTTCCAGCAACATACCAAAGTTGGTAGGTTGAGGGACAAACTTCCAAGCATAATCAGCTTTAGATGCAAAGAAGAGCATGTCCAGTTTTCTTCTTTGGCAAAAATTTGAGGATAATGGAATACATTGTAGATTAACTTAAATAAGCGGAAGCTTGCAGCTCTGAGCTGACCCTTAAATGCACAAAAGCTAGAGGTGAAAACTCAAAAAGACAAAAAAGAAAATCAAACCTTTGGAGCTCACCGCGAGACGCAGTGCACCATGCGGTGTAGTCACTCACGACTGTGTCTTGTAACAGCCTCCGGTTCCCAGCGGAACGTACGGTTTGCGCTGCCGCCAGCTGGCTGCCAGCTGGTAGCTCCGCAGTCCTCACCTTTTGTGCTGCCAGTATCACAGCGAGGAATAGAAAGACGAGCTGCTTCATTGATGTGTGGGAGTTCAGACGTCCAGCTGACTTCCTGGCGGTCGCAGGGGAATGCTTGAGGAATGAAGAGACGTTAAGGAGAGCCATGGCCGGCAACGCGGCTGATTGCACAGTGAGCCTTTCTTGAACTCTTCTGAGCTGAGGATTCTTGATCAAGAAATGTGTTTCTGGAAGATTTTTATTTTCACTCAAATAAGGGGAATGGTGAGCTCAAGAAGGCAATCGCTTTACCTGGGTAGCGAAATTCATGGGGCTGTGTGCATCCCGGTGCTCAACTGAACACGCAAGCGTGAAAGTAAAGCTGGAGTCTGAAGATGCAGGCGTTTGATTGACAAGGGCCCAACTCGACCTCAGAAGAGGTGCATAATGCGGATGGGACGGCTTCAAGGCTTGATATACTGAGGACTCAGGAGGTATTCAACGTGAGTAGATTCACTTGCGGAGGCTCGTCAGCTCAGGGTGGTGCATTATGGTTCTTGCGTGCATTTAATATGGTTCCTGATCTGTCGCTTGAAACTTGAAGGGGAGATATTTCAGACTGTCAGGGGGAAAGAGCTACGTGCAGCGGCCAGCCAATCAACTCCAAGCTCCAGGTCAGTTGGAAATTCCATACAAAAGATCACGACAGTTTTGAATGAAGTCTCCAGGTCTGACTTGGAGCTGGGAGCTGATTGGCTCTTGATTGGCTCTAGCTACCGTAGTTCAAGTTAACGTTTTCACGAGTCTCCACTGCAGTGTACACATCTGGATTCTGTACCCATGTACGGAAAACCCGTTGCGGGGCTTGGGCTCAGGGCTGCTTGCTAGCTAGCTAGCGTTTGAGGTTTACCGTTTCACGTGGAGCTGCATCATGCATGTACGGTACCTGGAGTTGTTACTATTACCGTACGGTAGCTCAAACTACCGTACTGACAAAGCTGGTACGTACCAAGTGGCGATGCAGACTGGTTCGGAGAACTTTGCATGGACCGTCGAAACCTGATTTTAGCGGTTCAAAACCTGAAACTGCTGAGTCGTGACTCCTGAGTAGGTATTGACTCCCCGGCCGTTTTCGACGGGTAATAGGTATGAGGTTCGGTGCCCTGGAATACTTGATCTACCGGTAGTGGGGCATAAACCCTGAACCCTGCACGTGCCCGCCCCGCGTTGAGGCAAGTTGCAGCTACTGAGTCGCGTACGTCGCGATATAGTATGACTCGCGGCTCCGCGGCCGGCAGGGCGCAGGGCGGCCATGAGGATCGCGGCCTGGATCGCGGTACGTGTGTACGTGAGCTTGGCCCCGGTACTATCGACTAATCTTATGCTCCTGTAATGCTAGAGATTATAGACTAGATATTTTGCACTCATAATTAACTATCGGTATGAGCTGTTCCGGGGCTTTTTGGCTTTTAATTTGGCAATCTAGGGCAATATTCTATGACAGTTTACGACTCAAAATGCGTCCACTGAGGACCAACAAACCACTCTTCGAAATAAATCAAAGGCTTGCAAAACCTCAAATCAACCTAAACAATATTATAACTTGCAGGACATGCATCATGCATCCAATCATTCAGTTTTCACGTTAGGTCCTACGTGGGTCCTACAGGCGGACCGCAGAACTTCGCGATGCCCAAATATCAAGCATCACTGAAGGGCTGCCATGAAGGGGTATTGTTGCCGGTCGCGCGTCGATCGTCCCAGTAATTAATTACGACATTTCAACTGGAACCGGCCGGAGAACAAGCTCTATAGACCTTACAGACTCGAGTATTTGATATTGTATTTTTCCTTTCTTTTCCACGGGCCGTACTCCGAAGTCAATCATTGGGAGCGGGAGCAGATTAATAGCGCCGGGGGAAACGTCAGAGCTGAGATGAAATGGCAAATCTCATAAACCTCAGTGCTCGCAGATCAAATTGTTCGACATGGACACCTGATGCGTTAAAAACAAAAAGAAAGGAAAATCAATCATGCGTTAACGAGGCAAGAACTGGCACGTCGGAAGCGTTGATCTGCGCGGCTAATCAAGCAAGCGTGAGAAAGGTAACTGCACAACAGGCTGTGGAATGCATAAAGTCCGCACCCGCCCGTCACGAGGGCACGGTTCACAAAGGGCGTCAGAGTCGTTGAATTACCCTGTTTCCATGACGACTTTTTTGCCAGAGGGTCCGATCGACATCTTCGCTACTTGATAAGTGACTATGGGCTACAGGAAGCGATCTACTGGACGCCACAATCTGGCTCATGCACATTCCCGCTACCGGGACTCGAGCGGGGTCTGAGCCGTCCCATATGATTCAGGTGCAACAGTAGTAGCTAACTGCAACTTGAAAAATTATAAACATCTTCGTTTTGCCAGCTGGTCTGGCGCTATAGTACAGGCTCCTTCAAAGAAACTTGAGGGAACGCGCTCAACGCCCAACGGGGGCCGAGAGGAAGCGGAGCCGGCACGCGGAAAGCCAGGTTTGAGAGCTTGAAGGAGACACCAGGAGTTCACGGGACAGAGGCCAGCAGGAGCATGCTGCGGTACATGAACAACTTTCAATCATGCACGCACGAGATCTCGTCGATGGAAGCGGGCAAGGATGAGCTCTTTGCTATAAGAGCCAGTCCTTAATGATACGGCTGGATATCAAACCAGGTGCTTGGATTTGCACTGGGTGGACCAAAGGCGTTCACTTTGAAGAACGGCAACAGTCATGTCCGAAGGCCATTCGACATACGCCGCAACACCAGCCAAAACCGACTTCATCACGTGCCGCTAGCTAGCTGCTGTCCCATTCTAAAGGTGCTGCACGTGGACTCGATTTTGCAAAGATTGAGTGTACCTTCTGGGCTGCTTTTAAATAAACAAACCTGTACTAGAGGCGTCCGGACACACCAAGTCGTCTTTGACAAGTTGCTTGCCAACAAATGCGTATAAATTCTGGCCTGTTCTGCAACTGTTCTTCAGGGTTCTGGTTAAGAGACCAGCGGAACAGCCTTGTTCCATTGTTCCTCTCATAACAAGTGAAGCACACCGGCGCGCCCTCGCGCAAGCTCGCCTTGACAAGAAGATGCCAAAGAGGATTCAGACGGAAGCGCTCGTGCCGAATTCCAACACGCTGGCAAATGGGGACTGAACGTCCGTGGGTTTGGGCCGTCGCAAATTCAGGCCAGAACTCACCGTGACCCTCATTCAGCAAGGCACCGGAAAAGCAATTTGACGGCCCGGGACATCAGCAACCCTTCTGGAGGGCTTTAACGCTAAGCTGTAACAGGCTGAGACTGACGAATTCAATGGGATGTCGTCAGTAGTTGGCATCATCATTGCCTTCCGTTCACTTTAAAGGCAGAAAATCGAGCGCACGGGCACTAGATGCAAGCGCGCTCAGATCGATCACGTCACGGTGTGGGCGCATGACAATACAACGCCGAGTCGAGATTGTGAGTCCAATGTTGCGCCGAAGCCGGGTGAATCCTGTTCTCAGAAGGGAGATGCGCAGTTGAAACGCATGATTGATCCGATTCATGGTTGGGGACTGCTTCATACGATCAACCGGTTGACAATCCAAGTTGCGAGGAGGGCGTCAAATGAGCACCAATGAGGAGAATCAGCTTCTTGGCAAACCTGCCAATTGGCCCATGCTCTTATCATGGCCTTCTCAATTGTAAGGGTCGTAATTCAAACGTAACGTCGCGGCGAAATATGTCGTCAATCTTATCGACGCGAGATGGCAGAATGAGCAAACACCTTCAAAAAAGTTGTTTCCTTGCCAGGCTTCCAAGTTAGCATTAGCGCACCCCCAGTGAGAAAGCTTGTAGTGTTTGAATAATAATGGCAGTACCCAGAACGGAAACTACTTCACCAGAGGTACCAGGCATTTTTCATATGTCTGGTAAAGGATGAGGCACATAACAGAGTCGGCGCAATTGCGGTCTGGCTCTGAAGCTGCCGTAAAGCTAGCTGCAACCTTGTTCAAGGGCTTTACATACTACAACGCGTCAACTCGATAGCCTGTCATCTGCAACAACCGTGGAGCTTTGCCTGCTATATCAGGCACACTCCGGCCCCCTTCACGGACAGAGAAAATTGAGCTCGGCATGGCAAGGACGTACTGGCACTCGGGAACGCCTTCCATACCGTCTCAAAAGAGCAATGGACGAGAAGAGTTGAGATTAATCATTCAGCGCCTCTAAGCAAGAACTGTTCGATGAAGGAGAGCGAGCGCTAGATTAGATTGTTGCTTGGCAAGAGCGGTTTTACGGCCGACCATAGTAACTGAAAGAAAAAGCTGCCCGGGCCCTCGTATTGAAAATGTCGCCCGACTTTGATTGTGAACGTCTCATGGTCACGTCTGTCTCTGCGGGCCGGTAGCATCAGAGACACTTCAAAGCCATGCTTCGCTTGCGAAGTGCATCACCCGAACAAATGGCCACATTCTTCAACAAACATCTGGAAAGGGGACGCCAAGTACAAGAGCAGTGAGCTCAGCCCACCTACCGGATGCCCATGAAGCCGGGAGCCATTTTGGAGACGTACCGTTTTCGGTCTCCTCACGGCGCAATTTTAAATCCTTTCTAAGTTTTAACAAAGTGACGCCACTTTTAAGAGAGACGCGGTCGGCATCGATACTATGCTTCCACCTTGGAATCAGCAACGGCTTTTTGAGAAGCTGAGAGGTCCAACCCTGCTTGGCGGAGCAATCGACTGGTCGTAGGTGGCACAAGTTGCTGAAAGAACGTGCGTTATAATTTGCTAAACTTCGCTCAGTCGGTCAATCAAACTTGCATTTCATCTAACGGGATCACGCAGACTGAGCAGACCAAATTCGTTTCCTGATGCAAGCTTTTGCTCGCTATGTGCTTCTGACTATCCTGCGTCGCATGACGGTGCTTCCGTCAGCCGCTCTACGAACGCAAAGCTAAACAAGATGGAGAATGAGCCACCCAGAGTCCCGCTTATGCCTACAAAGACCAATAAAAAGAATTCGAACGGCGTTCCACAGATTCGAAGCACGTTGTCACCACGAACGGATCGTGCCCAATTAACCGTGGAGTTTGAGCACTGCAGGAATAAAGGTGTGATGACATTTAGGACCTTGACAGGGCATCCGCCTTCCAAGACTATCTCTTCTGATGGCGACATCCAGGTTGTCATCAGTAGAGGTTACTGGCCGCGTGATCTCCTTGCCCATATCCTTGAAACTCCGAAGATCGTCATTTCTTACTTACATATTGTTCGTTCACTCTTGTAACAGGGGACACGTGCACAATTCTAAGAAGCGAGGCAAACAAACCCGCAGCCGCTCCCTCGTTCGTTCTTGCCGTCGGTTTCAAGCATTTCGACCCTACAACTTCTTGCACCAGGTTTTCGCCTTCACAAGCAACGCGAGCAAAGCGAGCTAGACCAGGCTTGCGGCGCCGAGATGAAGACGTGCCCAAATCAGAACACGCATCAATATCGAGTCTTTCTGAAACAATAGGGCGTCAGAATTGCTCCTGGAGTGACTTGGTGGCACAGCGAGCTTTCCAATCTTCCAGAGAATCATTGCCCTTCGCACCGCTAACTTGCCGCGAAGTGGCAGGCTGTTGCTATTCGTTAAAAGAGATCTACTGTCCATATCGCCCCCACCTTCAAGCGGGCTTTTTCTCCGATCAAGGCGAAGAGGGAGAAGACTATGCTTGGCTCTTAGTACGATGCAATTCTGTGAGCACAAGTTGCAAAACGAAGGCGTATGGAAGCTCGTAGCTACTCCTCGCAGGACATTTTAAAGGTTGAGTTGTCAGTCTCAAATCTGAAGCGTGTTTTGAAAGCCACAAAAAAGCAGCGAGTCAGCTTTTGAGGTGACTGGTTTGGACATATCGGATATGATTGTCAAATCAAACGCCTGGTGCGCATGATCACAAAGGCGTCATGACGAAGTTGTGGACACTTGATTTACACCAAGCCAAGCAAGTACTTGCAGCAGAGCCCTATTGGGGGCTTTGTACAAGTGTTCGTACATGACTCCGCAGAGGTCGACACGTCGCGAGTCGCTTGTGATGAAGGACACGTATAAATCTTCAAGCCTGAAAGTAGCAAGTCCCGCCATAAAATACCTCTCAAGAGAACCATACTTCAACACCTTTGCACCTTCTTGGAAGTTGGATGATAGATGAAAGATCAAGTTGAACGACGGTAGTCGAGCGGCGTCGGGCCGTTTTGTTTCTTTAATCGACAATGCCGGTGACACTTGATTCATCCAAGCTATGGTCGGCAATTGCTCCAGGTGATTGAAATCCGTTCGAAACTGGAAAGTGAGTCGCAAGGAAGGCGTCAGATGACCGTGAACATAGCGACAGCCGTTGGCGCAGACTTGCCCCTTGGCCCGTGCTCACATCATGACCTTCTCAATTCAAAGCCTCAGTCGGAATCAAAAAGTAACTTTCCGGCAAGGTTGTGTGTACGTCGACACGGAAGTACCGCAGGGACGAATTAGCCTCCGGGCGACAATCCTTCCCTATAGCCTCGGACCTTCTCAAGTTCTAACGCCGCGAAGAGCTTCATGAGGAGTGCTTCAATCGATCGTGGAATCGTAGAGTGCGCCGGTAATGATATAAAAGGAAAAGGCCAAATGGAAGCATCTTCCGACGGTTAGTTTTGCCCACGTCTGAAAATGACGTACCGCGAGTCTGGTCAACCACTGGCCCAGCGGACTGCGCGGCAACTTTCTGGTCGATCGGCTTCAGGGACAAGTCGAGGGCGTAGCTAGCTGAAACCTAGGCTTGGAACCGTAGAATTATTAAAACCTTCGGAGCCCATAGAACCGTAGAACCTTGGAAGAATTCAGTGCGCTCTGAATGCTTCGGTGGCGCCAGCGAAGGTCAATTGAATGTTTTCGATCCGGCCATACCACACTACTAGCTAGGCCAAAAACAAAAAAAAAGCAGGCTTCCAAAGATTTGGGCACGCCGCGCCCATGTGCAAAGACATCATACGAGTCGGACGGAAGCGTCATGCACGCGTCGGATTGAACGTGGTACGTCAGTACGGTACGGTTGCACTTAATTTGCTCCTCAGTTGCAAGCGGCCTTTCAATCCTGACTAGCTTGCCGGGAAAAAATATAGGCACGAAGGTTCCTTTCGCGGTCACGTGCATGGCACTCAGTGGCTTAGGATCCAATCTTAGCCCACCAACTGATGGATTGAATTCATTAAAACCAGAATCGACATATCCTGAATTGGTAAGCAGCATCCGGTCAAATAAGAACAAAGAAGAAAGACATCAGGTTGATTTTAGGGTTAGAATACAATTCCAAGTCCATCTGCATGATTGAGGGGCAGTCCAAGTTCACTTTCAAGTTTCGTTCAAAATGATTCAATGTCCTGATCGATTAGCGGATTCCTAGCTTATAGCAGGTGTTATGAAACCAACCATGTTGTAAGTGAGCACTCCTGGCTGAGGTCCAGTGGGACATTCCAAAGTACATACTGATTGACTCTGTTCGCTTGACTATGCGCGCAGTGCAATATTGAGTTGACACTTTCTGTGACTATTTCTACTTGATTGAACGTTTGCTTCTGAGTTCTAAGCCTTGATTGGGGCCCAACAGCAGGTCTAAGTGAGCAACGGTAATCTCCAACGAAAAGATAACCCGACGGACACTTTCCGAAGGTGGTCTAGGGTCAATTCCAACACTTCAAATGCCTACCCAACAAACCCAACACGGTCCTAGTAAAACGGGCTTGTCTTGCCTGACCGTGGAGTCTTCCCTATGTTTTGACCCCGACCCGGAACCGAGTACCTAAACGTGGCATTCCCCGGGTTGTAACATGACACTCCCGCCATGGTAATTGACGCATTTATGGCTACCAGCCTCCCTAAAGGCGAGACAGTCGTGCTATCATACGGGCTCCGACAGAATACCGGAACGCTAAAATTACCGAACTGAACGGGCAGTGTTTGCCAGGCTTTGACGTTATATTTGAAACCAATCCGGTCGTATATGGGCACGACCAGGGGCACTTTCTTCTTGCCCTGGAGCACGGTGGAGTTTCCGGACAGATTCCGTGCCCACGTGTCCGATGTCGTCACGAGCATAGCAACCCCGGCGCAGCACCGTTGCAAAACGGACCTGCAGATCCAGCCACAAAAGCTTATGATTTTCATCGTGTTACGGGGTTGTCCGCCCTCTCTGCCTTAACGTTTCTGTCTAACTCGTTTACTTGTCAGACGGCACGTATATTGTCAGCTCAGAATCCGGTCCTGGATCCCGACCCTCGCTCTCATTTGGTTATCCGTTGGCATCTTCTGCGCTTCTAAGGCCAGGGCTTTGAGACGAAGAACAGTCAAGATCGAATCTATTTTGGAACTGTGGTCAGGCTACGGAAGCCCCCAAAGTAAACTTCTTATAATCACCAAGCAACAGAAAGTGCGACCGCAATTTTTTTAAAGATCGAGACCAGACTGATAATGATCCAACATTGGCAGCCCAGGTCGTATGAGAGGACAGAACGGCAGTATTCATCCAACCGTCAAAGTCTCGCAGTCCACGGACCCTTGAAAAAGCTCGTGCATCCAAAGAGCAAACTCTAATCGCACAGGCCTCAAATTCTAGCTACGTCTCGGCACAAATTGAGTGGGCGCCGTATTCCCGCAGGTTCAGAGCTCAGAAGCTGTTACCTGTACCCAACTTTGCTTCGGACCCAAAAACCGCCATCCTTGAACCGTGTTTGCTCTTTCGTAACGAGCTTTTTCAGTGCGTCAGAATAAAACACAGCCCTTAAAAATTCAGAAAAACCCAAGAAAAACGTCAATAACTTTTCCATGGAAATGAGGTGCGTGTAACTGAACACTGACCTTGACAGCACCCGAGCCTGGGTTGCGGACGTCACCACTCTGGTTGTACGCAATAAAGCGGTCCGAGAGCGCGCCAAAGACGAAGTCATGGTCCGAAATGGACGTCAGTTCGGCGTCAGAGGAGTCGAAGATGCTGCACAAGAAAGCGTTTTGAGGAGGTTAGCATTCCAGCTCCCTGAATCTCAGATTCATAGCTTGTATGAGGCAAAGTCTGTGCAGAAAGCGAAGAAACGGTAGGTGTGGAAAGGCTATGACGTCACCGTCAAAAGGGGAAAGAATGCTCAAAGAGAAGAACCACGTTTCTTTTTTATGAAGCCTGTCTGGGCAGAGTGAACTCCAAGTCAATCGAGACGAGCGAGCGAAAACGTAACTCGCTGCTCTTCAGAATGACGATGTTAGGACAAACGAATGTCCTAACAACCTAGGAACGGCTTACCTTCGCAGACCTGCTGCGAAGGAGGCCTATGCCCTGAGAGTTTTCGTGTTCTGGATGCGCTCAAAGTGACGCAAGAGCTTTTACAGAAACCACAGCATTTGCAACTCTTCTCGTCTAACAGTCTCCTTGTCTGAAAGGAACAGACCCGATGCTCGGAAATGAAGGATACCAAACAAGCGTTCGGACCGCAGCAACATCACGACGCATCCAACTGCGCTTCTTCCTACGAGGGAGGCATAGCCGCAGGCACGAAAAGCACCACAAGTGTCTTATCCTCGCTGTGACCACTCCTTTCGCAACGTATTAGACAAGACCCAAAAGTTGACATTTGAATCTGGTCCGATGAGTATTGAGAAAGGGGAACTCACTAGGCATTTGACGCAGCCGTGTAATAGAAGAAGACTCCGTTCAGGTCAAGCGTCCTGCTTCCGTTGAACGGAACCACGTAATCCACAAAAGTGCCCGGGGCATCGAACGGCTCGCACCGAATCTCCACCCGAGTGCTGATCTGCGTCAGGTACGTGATGCCCACGCCGTAGAAGAGGCCCGGGCCGAAGTCCGCCAGCTGCCAGCGGAATTCTGATGTGTTAGCGGAAGAGAAGCGAGGGAGAAAGGAAAGGAGTAAAGCACATTTTTCTAACCGAACAATGGAAGCACGTGAGGCCCACGCCGTAGAAGAGGCCCGGGCCGAGGTCCGCCAGCTGCCAGCGGAATTCCGGTGCGTCAGATGATGGTAGCGGAAGAGACGGAAAGGCGGAAGAGAAAGTGCGAGGCACGTTCGGTAAGCCAAACAAGGTTGTAAGTAAGTGATGCCCACTTCCGTAGAAGAGGCCCGGGCTGAAGTCCGCCAGCTGCCAGCGGAAATCCGGTGCGTCAGAAGACGCGAGCGGAATAAAAGTGAAGGAGAAAGAGGAGTGAAGCCTATTTCTTGAGCCCAGAAAAATAGAGGGATGTGATGCCCATT